TTTATTTTTTTTTAATGTTTATTTTGCAGAGAGCACGAGGGAGGGAGGGGCAGAGAGAGAGGGAGACCCAGAATCCGAAGCAGGCTCCAGGCTCCGAGCCGTCAGCCCAGAGCCCAACGCGGGGCTCGAACCCGCGAACCCATGAGATCATGACCCGAGCTGCTGTCAGACGCCCAACCCACTGAGCCACCCAGGCGCCCCTAAGGACCCAATTCAGCGCACCGTCCTGTATTCACACCTTTGCATGGCTGCCTCCCGCACCGGCTCCGGACGTGGCCTCTGCAACCTGCTGAGGCCAATGGCACAGCAACACAACGGGCACCTTGTGGGCTTCTGCTCTCTTGTCCCCCTGCCACCTCCGTGCAAAGGCAGGGCTCGCCTGATGGAGGATGAGACGCACCGCTAAGTTAGTCAGCTGCCCCAGCCGGGGCCCTACGTGAGTAAGACAACCCAGCCCAGACCAGGAAAGCCACCTCGGCTGCCACTGACCACAAACACCTGCGCGAGCCCCACCCAGCAGACGACCCATCTAGCTAACCCAGAGTCACAGAAGCCTCCGGCGTGGTGCTCCCTTGTTACGTGGCATTATCGTGGCAATAGGTACCTGATACACAGCCCCGATCTGAATCCAGCCCCGACTATCCCCACCTTCCCGTTTTTGCCCAGGAAAGGAGTTTTAAGGTTCCGGCTGCATGGTTTCAGGTCCCGGGTTCAACGCCCAGGGGTGGTTTTTTAAAGCATCAGAAATACATTGGCGCTTCTGGCTTCAAAGCAGGGAGACTGGTGTGGACAAAAGAGTGAGGGAGAATTCCTTAAGGCCAGGTGGAGATCGAACCAACTTCCTGGTTCATCAAAAACACACAGACCTGGGGCACCTGGGTGGCTCGGTCGGTTAAGCGTCCGACTTCGGCTCAGGTCATGATCTCACGGTCCGTGAGTTCGAGCCCCGCGTCGGGCTCTGTGCTGACAGCTCAGAGCCTGGAGCCTGTTTCAGAGTCTGTGTCTCCCTCTCTCTCTGCCCCTCCCCTGTTCATGCTCTGTCTCTCTCTGCCTCAAAGATAAATAAACGTTTAAAATAAATAAATAAACACACAGACCTGGGCTGAGTGAGGCAGCAGCCGTGAGCTGCGTCGGAGAAAAACAACGGCAGGTGCTCCCTAGCACAGCTTGCTGGGCCACAGAGAGAGGCATCCCCCTCCTCTGGCTCCAGGCCCCTGGTTTTCTCTGGGAAATAACCCCCTTCTTCACGCCTCTTACCCCAGAGGCGGCCAATCAGCATCTTCCAGCCGTCAACCACAATGATTGGTTCAGCAACAGGCACTGTCCAAATTCTATCCAATCAGAGGGCTTTTGCCGGAAAGACAGGGAACAGGCCTATTTCTACCCACTGGCAGGTGCGAGGGTGGAACCCTACTGCCCGCGATCACCACCAGACAAGAGCCTGCCCAGAGGGGCAAGTGCCCTGACATCTCCGGGCCTCCGTTTTCTCGCGTGTGAAAAGCGGATAATTACTGCGTCCCCTCATGGAATTGTTGTGAGGGGTTAGGGAGATCCTCGATGAAAAGCACCAGGCGAGGGATCTGGAAACGTGAGCTGTTGTGATTACTTTGGTGCAGTCACTGGGCCCGATCAGTGTCTGATATTTA